GTTTGTTGTTTTACGAGTGAGTTGTGCGTCGTTTTACGGGTAAGTTGTTTGTTGTTTTACGAGTGAGTTGTGCGTCGCTTTACACTAAAAACATTCAATGTATTCTAATTGGAATGGCAAATTATTCTTGCCAGAACCATGAACCATTCCAGGTTGAACCCTAAATTATTCTAGTTAGAACAATAAACCATAACTATAATAAAATGATATAAAAAAAGAAACAGGGGCAGAATTGCTACCATGTTGAAGGCATTGATGTAAATAAGGTTTGAGTCACTGAAGGTCTAAAACAAGGTTGCCGAAAATATGCCCTATTGCTATTTGGAATTTTTTGATTTTGTGTTTTCCTATTCATTTTGTATTTTTTATTGTTTTATGTCTGTTTTTCCCTAGGATTTGCTAGTAGATTTAAACCTTCTCTAGAAAACTGTATATTTTTGCATAACCTGAAGCCTTTATCTACCTTGTCTTGGGCGGTTGCCCTATAAACCCTAAACCGCAAAAACCTTGAAAGCCACGGAGGCGGTAGGCGATGAAGACGAATGCGTCCTGCGGGGGAGATGCTTACTTCTGTTAAAAGGAGGGCTTTGCAGAAAGGATACTCGGCTCTGCACTTACATTTTGGCACTGCTGGGCGGGGCTTTTTGCGCATCCAGGGTTGGCGTGTTAGCCCTCAAACCTTGTTAGCTGCGGCTGGAACCTACCGCTGGCGGTGAAACTCTGTGCCACCACGTTGCTTCAGACCGCCCCGCTTGGTGATAGAATATCTGTTCTTTCCGTCATCAGAAGCTACTACAATCCTAATGCCTTGCAGGAATTGGCGTTCTCGAAGGGTGCAAATCATCAAAGTTGCGGCTGCCTTCGTCATTGGATTCTTGCCTTCTATGACAAATCCGTCACCCTCTTCTGACCCGGCCAGTCCGTGGTGGTCCTCGGACAGCTTCGGATAGAGCGTCCGGAGGTGGTTCTTGAATTCCTTTGTGCAACTAACCTGCAGCTCCAAGTTCTCCCGGATTTCCTGCAGTTTCGTCTCGGCGGCCTCCTGGAAGCGGTTGCCCGAAAAGATTTGGGTGTCTGCGAAGTGCCGGCACAAAAAGGTCGCTGTGCACTTACCCCACAGCAATGACTTCCCAAATTCTTGCAAACCGTGCTCCAGCAGAGGCCGCGTTGCAAAGACCGCCTGGTGTCGGGAGAGAGCGCGAAGCAGTCTGAAGTTTTCCTTTTCCAACAAGGTCACAATCTTCTCATTGGACTTCTCGTCCTTCTCCTTGGACTTGATGGCCTCCTCCATGGACTTCTCGGCCATCTTCACGGCCTTATTGGACGACTTGATGGCCTCCACCAAGGCCTGTCTTGTCTCCATGGCCTCTCTGGCCTCCTCCCTGGCCTCCTCCTTGGCCTCCTCCGTGGCCACCTGACGCATTGTTCTCAGGGCCTTCCTCGCCTTTTTGTAAGCCTCATTGTCCAAGTCTGCGATCAAGGCATACACATCCTGAAGCGAACGTTTCTCAGCCATTGCTACAGCATTCAAAGCTGGCTGAGCCCGCACCACACGAGGAGTGAAGTCATGACAACGTGCGACTACCTTATAGGCATGAGACACCAAAACAGGCAAATACACGCGCAAACACACACACACACATGACTCGGTCCTTTCAAGGTGTCGTTGTGGTGGTCGTGGTCGGCGTCAATGATGATTCCGGTCAGACGTATGTCCAGGCTTATATCGACCTACCTATGCCTTTTAGGTTGTGCTTCCTAGGGGTTTCGGGAGAAGGGGTGGAATAGGTTTTTTTTGTTGGTTTGGGGGGGTATAGGACAACCTAAATTCTACGAACATGACCTTGCCTATTTTCAGGGGTTGGAGTTTGGGGTGAGAAGGTTGAGGTTTTGGGAGTTGGAGTTGTTGAAGGTGTTCTTTTGGAAGGGTGTAGGGGTTGGGGTTAAGGTTGTTCTTGAGGTGGGGATTTTTGAAGGTGAATACAGGTAATGGGGTTAAGGTTGTTGCTAGGTGGGGGTCTTTCGGTGAGATTTTGGAAGGGTGTAGGGGTTGAGGCGTTGGAGAGGTGGAAGGTTGAGAAGGTGCTTTTTTTTGGATAAGGGTGTATGGAGGGGTTTTTGGGGTGAAATTAGAGGGTTGAATTGGGGTGTAGTTATGGAATGAGGTTTGAACCATAGGGGGGGGTCTAGCGGTTGAAAATGGGCAAGGTCATCCCTAACTTTATTTAGGGTACTATACAAGGGTCCCCTATTTTCAGACACCCTCATATAATGTGAAAGAGTTTCGGTGAGGTTGTGGGCTGTCCGTTGCTGTTTAGCACCACTGCGAATCCTCTGGTTAACGGTTTGCATACTCCTCTTGCCACTGCTACCGCGTCCAGTGCTACATGCAGTTATGTTTTCCGCCCACTCCCACTGCTGGCCTGTGGGCGTGATCCTTAAAATGATGCTGCTTGTTGTTGCTGCTGCTTTGGTAATCAGGTGAGTACGGTATGACGACGATCATATATCAACGAAGCAGGTCCCAAAAGTGAAGGGATGTCAAACTCAACAGCTAGCTAACGTCTCTCGCCAGATGTCATCATGCGGAGCCCAGGGATCCCAGATCACACAAAAAGGCAGCAGAAAAGCAGCAGCGTATCAGACGGCTGCAGGTGAAGCAAGAACCAAAGCATTTCTGAAGCACCATCGAGGCTGGATTGTATTTGCTGAGGTAAGACTTCAACATGATATCAGCACAGAAAGACTTTATGATACTGGCTAGGTATGACTACTCGCGACTCCCACAAGGCATGCATTGAGGGACGAACCTTCACGAAAGCATCTGCGCTGTCGGCAGTGAGCCTGAGAGCTACGTAGAGGAAGTGTTTTCGGCTCATGGGAGCCTGAAGCCTCGAACCCTATAAACCCAAATCCTACATAAGCCCGAAAACCGTAAAACACCCGAAACCCTAAATTTAGACAACACTGAAACTCTAACCCACGCCGTCCCAGACTCAGCAGTTGATGATTGCGAGAAAGGCGTCCATACAACAGGATTTCGATGAGGGGTCTTCAACCCTTTGGGCACATGAGTTACAGAATCATGTCAAAATACACGGACTGTTGGAGGGGATAGTATGAGCACCTGCCCACCTGGTAAACATAACCTCAATGTATGCTAACCCCAAGTTACTCTAGGGTTCTGAACTCAATGATGGTGTTACCTGCAGTACTTTCTGACTTTAGAGTTCGCTCTGGAGCTTGTGAAAAGGAGGTTTTTTCTTGGGGGGGGGGGGGATGAGAAACAGGTTTAGGGTTTCGGGTTGCGGGTTTAGGGGTTGGGGTTAGGGGTTTCGGGTTTACGGTTCAACAGCATCCAAACACTCCCAGTTGACTTTCACTGTGCAAGCACCTCTAGAGAACATGCTCAGCACCTGAACTCTCCATGAGATCCCGAGGGGGAAACCTCTGTCCATCCCCCCTGGACTCTTCTTCTGGCACATTTTGCTCGTATTTAAAGGATCATGGGACTTAGTAAGTAGGGTTATAATTAGGGTAACTATACTTATAACCACAATTAGGGGACTTGTAACCTTACTTACTAAGTCCCATGATCCTCCAAGTATGGTCCAGTCGGAGGTTGGCCTGCTGTAGACAGACCCTTCGAAATCGACGTCCGATGACGGGCTGCAGGGCTGTGCCGGGTAGTCGAAGGAAGTCGAAACACAAACGCAAACTGTTAAGGTCCACACATGATCACCCTTGTGTCTATAATCCTCAACTACAAGACATTCTTCCTGTCTCAGAATTATGACATCGGGTGCAGAACATGAGGAGTACAGTGCACCCGCCAGAGCATGTTCTTCACGAGCTCTGCGCTGCAAGCAAGCAACTCCGTGGAGAAGTCCCAATGGCTGTCTGGGTAGATCCCCGCCTGAGCGACCTGCACAGCTTTGGGATTTGCATGGAACATAAAATAAAGTATTGCATAGTAGAAGCCCAGCTCCCTTTATGAAAATGGGATGCTTTCCCATGGCCTTGGGGCCTAGGCACGGTAACGTACTCTACAGGCGTATAGGCAACTTGGCATTATAGGGCAGGCTCCATTCCTTGTGCACCGGAGGCCGGCTCCGAATAAAAGGCATCTAAAGAAATACCAAAAGTGAAACAAAGGCTCCGTCAGAACTCGGGGGGTAGAGATGCGCATAAACGAGAACAAATCCCACACCAGAAAACCGAAACGGCCACGAAACCTCACCCCAAATCTCTCATCCTGCACCCAGAATCCCCAAATCGCATCTAACGAGATCAAACCCGATAGGCTAAAGCTCCACAGACTTTGCATACCGCAGCCCTAAGGTTAGCAACAGGTACAAGTGGGGTTAAGGTCTGGTGTTTGAGGTAAAAACTCCATGGCCCCACAATTCACCCCCTGGCTTCGGCAAGTGCAGCCAAAACGCGCCCAGGAGGAGTGAGAAGAAGCTGAGCCCTGTTGGCAGAGCCATGGCGCCCATGGCACTGAACCGTTTTCGGAGTTTCGAAAAGTGCGAGACCAGGAACAATCGTTGCAGGCATCACCGTGATCGTGTGTAGTCGGAGTCGCCATGCAGGCAAATGGTGAAGAGGATTGAAGGTGTGATTGTCATAGGTCAATTCAACGTGTTCAGGAACACAGGACCCCCGCATCCAACGCATGCACATTTGATAGCACAAAGCCAAATGCGTCAAGCAAGGTGCCATTGCTGCAAGATACCTCCCCTGAAGGTGACTCTGCATGTCAGGATCACCTATGAAACTCGGGGCCAAGGTTTCCTTATCATGACCGCCATCAATCCGAAGACACCATAGGCTGACACGGTTTAGGGCTTAGTATTTACCTTAAGAACCCAAAACCTACTTTTTTGTGGGGTCCCTATAAATCCCCTATTAGGGTTTATAATAAGAACCTACAAAAAGATGGGTTTGGGGTTCTTAAGGTAGGGTTTACACCAGCATGTTCTGGAAGCTGAGACTGCGACGTCCACGTGCTTGACAAAGCAGTCACAGCCTCACAAAAACGGCTTTGGGATCGTTTTACTGGACCCCACGAATATATGCATAAAAAATACAATGCATCATCTGGGTATACATGTATACACATATACTTGTACACATACATAATTGCTCCTGCTCTAAACCCTGAACTGAGCAGGTTCACGGTCCAGTCAACCACAAAGTGAAACACGTGAGGACAGGTATACCGGAGCGTGGGGGGGCACAAAAGGAGCCGAACGGATCCATACACCCTACAAGCTAAACTGAGCTGCGAAAGAGAAAGCACCTGAGAATGCCCTTCCTAGGGCACCACCTCTCCTGCCATCTGAAGGGGATGTGGCACTGCACTGGGACGTATATAACCAAACTCTCTAAACCCCCCTAAACCCAGAACCCTAAACCCCTAAAGAGGGCTTGTCTAAGGCCATGATGCCATGTACGCCGTATTCGGCACTCGCACACGCGCCCCCTACCCAAAGCTGTCTGTGACTGCCTTCGCACATCGAAGTGCATTACGGTATATTATGGTATATAGTTTGTTATAGTATGTTCAGGTTGCTTATAGTAAAAATGTCTATGTTGCAGTTGACTATAGTTGACTATGGCGTAACATAGCTGGCTATAGTCTTATGATGTAGTCTATTACGACATACTATAAACTCATCATCGTCTCATCATCGTCTCAGGTGCATACCTCGAAGAAAGGGAACTTCAAGAGATTCGTTGCGAGGACGGTCCGGAAGAACCGGAGGATGTCGATCAAGCGGACCTGGTGGTAATATAAAATATAGGCACCTAAATAATTACCAATAGTATTTTGGATGGTTCCTTAGTATAATTATAGTATAATGGGCCCCAAAACCCTATTCTAATTATTAAGGCCCCTACAATACAAGCTTTCCAGAAGCTGGGCTTTTGTAAACCCAAAACCCTTATAGTGCTTTGGGTAGAAACCCTAGACTAAACCCTTAGGGCTTTGGGTCGAACGGGGTTCAGGCACATCACTCCAGAGGCAGCATGAAGATCAGGTTCCAAGCGCACCAAGTCGCCCTCGTTGAGCGGACCCTAAACCCTAAACCGTAAACCCTCTCTTCACAATGACTTTTGCATGCTGTTCTCCCAAAGTACCGCTTTGTTACTCGAGTTTTGATCTGCCCTCCTTGGGCTGAGGATGGTTGAAGGGAGTTCGGAGCATCAAACGGAGGCAGGCAAACTTCAGGACGACATTCATAAGTAGATGTTGTTGTTTTTCATAGTTGTTATGATGTTCTTTATTTATCCTGGTCGGGTTCGACATCATTTCGACACCAATCCTTTGTTTGACATCACAGAACCTTAAACAACTTCAAGACCTGCACCCGAAACTCCACCCCTTGTGCCTGCTGATCTTCCCTTCTGCCGAAGCCCTCTTGCCTATGAGATCCGACAGCCCGACGTGGAAATCTTCCACCGGCTGAAGGTGACCGCAGCTCAAACAGCAAAGCTGCACTAATTCAGACATACGTGGACTGGTGGTATGATAACATAATAAGAAGCATGAATAGTCGACTTGCGCAGACCATTGCAACAATAGGTTGAGACAGGCAACAACAACAAGCGTACAAGTACAAGCCTTAGACACAATCTCGAAATAAACTACATACATACGCGTACGTACATATTCTGTATGTACGTATGTACGTATGTGTGCATGTATGTATGTTACGTATGTGTGTATGTATGTATGTATGTATGTATGTATGTATGTATGTATGTACGTATGTCTGTAAGTCATTGAAAACTCTGTCCAGTGCTAGTGACGCCTCGTAACGATGGCAGCCAAAGTGCTAGGAGTAGGACCTGCTAGGACTGCTAGGAACATCGACGCAGCAGCATCTTGACAGACACCGTCCGCCGCATCTTAGCAGCTCAAGCAACAATGCTCCATTTGGGGGTTTCCAAAAATAGGGGACCCTCATATAGCACCCTAAATAGTAGGATCCTTATTATAAGGATCCCAAAACAAGGTACCCCTTGTTTTCGGAAACTCCCATTTCACAACTAGTTACGGCACCTCCGAGTATCGGCCCAGCACCCTCTGACAGTTTTGTTCGCGCCGCTTGCCTCTTCCCCAATACAGAACGCATGTGCAAAGTATTGATAAACAACGTAACCACCAAATAAAATCCTGCAAGTGACCTGCCCTACACAGACTGTCAAGCCAAACTGGGCTTTTTGCCAGGCTTAAACCACTTATTTCTATTGTTCCGCAAGACGACAGCATGAAAACCAAAATGCCACTAGCTTGACACAAGGTACACGAGCATAACCTACCGTGAGTCTGCATGACTATTTGTGCCGGAAGTAGAGATCCAAAAAACGGAATTTGTGTCGTCATGGTCATACGTCATAACCACTGCAATACGACGAGATATCGATAAATAACCGGAACAACAGTATTGAAGCCCAGTCACCCATACAGTAGCCTACTGGCTCATGGTTCAAACATGAGACGTAGTTATACTTGCTTTCATGTTGTACATGTTTTGACACCAGTGTAAGTACAAGACACGATGTGTATGTATATACAGTGCTTCCACAGTGTACATGTCTATAAATAAATAAATAAATAAATAAATAAATATATATATATATATATACACATATTATACATCTAAAGATCATCCGGCCTCCCGGATGGCGTCCAAGACGCGCAGCCGCTTGACGGCTACGCGGTTGAGCACGGGCTCGCTGAAAGCCTGTTGGCAATAAAAGTTTAGGGTTCGGTGAAGTTCGGTGTCTATAAGCGTTCCTTGTTTAGCTGTGGTTACAGAAACTATAGGGTTGTAAAAGGACTCTTTATAGCTGCGAATCAGATCGTCTTTGGATAAAAAAGTACTCCCTCTTGGCTTCTCTGGCTTCTGAGCCCAATGATTGCTGTTCGAACACATGTTGGGCCGTGGTCTTAGGCTTTCGAACAGTGACAAAGCAGCCCATGCACTAAGCCCCGGATCCCCCAACCCAAACCTAGCACCCCGAGACCGAAGCACCACCTGAGGCCATCCTCCCAGCCATGAAGATTCGAAGCACCCACGTCGCCCTAAGACCCAAGCCCTGCATGCCTGCAAACCCTAAAAGAGAACCTGAGCCCACCTGGAGAAGTGCGGCGACCACGGCACCCATAGCACCAACGCAGGCCTCAAACAAGGAACTCAGAAGAGGCCGCTGAATTCGGGGCTTTGGGGGTTGTCGGTTCTTGAAATCCCCAAGGGCTTTAAGGGAACCCGTGCTTTTGACTCCACGGTAGTCCGCACGGATTTCCTTCGACTGCAAATGACCAAGCCTGTAACTCCCCAAAACCTTGCTAGGGTGCCACGAAGTCAGGTTTGCAATGCCAAGGCCAACTGCACAAACTTCATCACGAGCTTGCATGGGACAAAGAGTCCGAGAGCGCCTGGCGGCCGACACGATGCCAGGTTCCTGAAGGGCAGGTTGCAGGGTCAGGCCCAGTCTTTAATTCATATTCGTTCATAAACCTTGGGACGCATCGACATTGCAACAGCAGGCACGATCGGCGTCAGCTTTGTTGTATCTTCGTGTCGTTGGGGCAAACTTTGTGCCAGGACGGAAAGTATTACAAAATCCATGTCGTGTAAGCTTTGAATTCCAACCATGCTTTGTCAAACACCATGCTTTTTCTGTAAGATCCTCAAACCGAATCCAGATCTTCCCGGCAGGATTCCCGACTGTGGATTCATGCAAGTTGGTTCTCTAGCAAGCCTCATAATCGGCATCTGGATTAAGATGAATACTTCCAGCCGTACACGGCTGTACTTATCGATCAGCGAGCGAACTACCAGATACCGAGACGTAGAGAATGAGACACACACACACACACACGCACGCACACGCGCATATGCTCACTGAAGGCGAAAACTACTGCGCCGATCCGAAAGCTCGTCGCACTTATGCAGGAGACACAACCAACCCCCTTTCTTCTCGTGGAAACTTCCAGCGGTCCTCCACCCGACAAAAACTAGAACCAAAATGTCAATGCGTGATAACTCTTCAGACGGGTCGATTCTCGACTGCGTTTGGTTGCCGTAGCAGATGCGTCTAAACGCTGATTCCTGGGAATGACTTGCATCAACAGGTACTTTGCACACCACATCAGCTTAATGCTTAAACAAGTCATACGGAGTGCAACTACACCCTCAATATAGTTATCATGTTTCGCGATGTTCTGCGGGCAAAGCCGTGTCCAGCCTACATCTGCCACTGCACTTGGTACCACTCGGCGGCCAATGCGGCCTGCGGCCAAGGCGGTGAGAACCCAAGAACAGCCATGAACAACCCAAGACATGATACGGGGTTTCCGAAAATAGGGGACCCCAATATAGTACCCTAAATAGTAGGATCCATAGTATGAGGACCCCAAAAGAAGGTAGCCCTAATTGTCGGAAACTCCCATACGCAGCCGCGGCACTCGGACGAGTGTGGTGCCCCGACCAAACTCGCCGGGGGCGAAGAGTCTCCTCGGCAGCAAAGGAAAAAAGGCTGACTTTTGGAGGTAGGTTTAGGGTTTAGGGTTTAGGGCGCTTGTCGTACCAAAGAAGCCGACTCAACACATGAAGGACAGGAAGACCTGTCCGAAAATCCCGCCTGGCATTACACCTTGGCCTAGAAGCATAGCCGTTGCTGCCCAATCCTCGGCGTCTTTATGATTGCTAGCTGCCTCATAAAACGGAAGCCTCAACCCCCGAACCCTACCCCAATCCCTAAGCCCTAACCCCCAGTCCCTAAACCCAAACCCACAAACCCTAAACCCAAGCCCACAAACCCTAAACCCAAATCCACAAACCCTGAACCCTAAGCCCCAATCCCTAAACCCAAACCCACAAACCCTAAACCCTAACCATCAAACCCTAAACCCAGACCCACAAACCCTAAGCCCCAATCCCTAAACCCAAACCACAAACCCTAAACCCTAACGCCCAATCCCTACACCCTAACCCCCAATCCCTAAACCCGAACCCCCAATCCCAAAACCCGAACCCCCAATCCCTAAACCCAAACCCACAAACCCTAAACCCACAAACCCTAATCCCTAACCCACAAACCCTAAACCCTAGACCCGAAAAGTCAACCCAAGCATTCGTCCGGGCAGCGCGAGGCACGAAGGGCAAAGAAACGAGTTTCGCTTTCGCCAAGCCTTGGGGGCCTGAGGATGGTGGTGATACGGGCTTATATATATATATATATATATATATAGGATTTAGGGTTTAGGGTTTAGGGTTTAGGATTTAGGGTTCTTTATAGGGTTTAGAGTTTAGGGTTTAGGACTTTAACGCTGTTCTTGTTGTGATTATTGTTGTTTTCATTCATACTGTTATGGTTATTTTCGATTTTTTACGGTTACGATTATGGTTTTAAGACTTTTTTGATTACCATCATTGTTATGACCATTGTGATGACAGTTATTATACTTGTTAGTGTTGTTATAAATATGGGATGTCGCTAGCTCCTACGTGCAGACACGTTACACCTCAGCATCTTATGCTTCTTTTCGAAGATGATATCTTGACACCCTCCACACACACACACATGCAGCCACGCAAAGGATGAAAGCTCTTCTGAACCCGTCGAGTGTCTTCACACCTTCCCCAACGAAACTGACTCTTCAGACACCAAGAGCCCGAAAAACTTCGCTGCGCCTCAGCCTTTAGTATCCTTACTGGGTTCTGGTCGAGGGATTTAGTTTAAACTACTAGAATAAAGAAACAGTGCTATGTTACTATAGATCCCTATTCTGGTACGGTAAATCAAGTTCCTTCTCAAAAGTGACCTGACATACTGCTGTTAAAGATTTAGTAATAATATAAGACTACCAGACGAATATAAAATTCCTAGTCCTTGACTCCCGGTGCCTGCAAGGAGGTGCGCCGGGGCGACATTGGCCCAAGGCTCAGCCCAAAGCATGCTTGGAGGGGTCTGAGGTTTATTTCGGGTTCATGCAGGGTGTAGTGTTTAGGCTTTGGGTTTAGGGTTTGGGGTTCAGGGTTTAGAGTTTCCGGTCAGGGGCTTTGGAGCTTTTCGCGATTTAGGCATTTAAGGGTATATGACGGTATATGATAACATAGAGTTTATAGGCCGTTTGGGGTTGAGGCTGGGGGGTCTGATCAGCTTGTGAGGTTTTGGAGACCGGAGTTGTTTTGTTGATTCTTGATGGCTGGCTTGGGGATTTAAGAGGTTCAAGCTTCTGTTTCGATGATGGGACCTGGATCGTTGTCGCCGCACTTTCTTGCACTCTATTGCAGGTTATTCGTTTCGCAAGCCTTGCAAATAACAGGTTTCAGGATGCAGTTTCTAGGCATGTATAAGCTAGCTCAGGACTCGAAGACATGATGGCTGAAGGGCTGTAGGTCGAAAAACAGCCACCAACTGTACTCCCTACATACTGTGTATCTCTACTGAATGCACACTACCACATACCGCTGTGCACATATGCTCGAAGGACTCACGTCTCGTCAACTGCTGGACATCTGCATGCGTGTACACAGGATTTTGATTCATGGTTTTCAGGCTCAAGATACTACGCCAGTGTCCCTTACACAAGAGTTTCGAGGTCACGGTACGACTGCCGGAGCACAAGGTAAATTTCGGATCAATGACTTCAGGGTCCGGTCCCTGTATTAATTACTACTGTAGTTATCCACGCATACAGCGGATTTCGGGCCAAACTCGCAGATTAACATGTCTTCCGGGATGAATAGTGCTCTCGTCAGACTAACATGCAGGTGTCTTTCATTCCAGTCTTCAGGGTTAAACTAAGCAAAGACTGAAGGCACATTGCGGCACATGCATAGTTTTTAGGATCAAATCTATCGGCATATCATATGATGCTTCGACATGGGGTCGGTGTCAACATACAGCACACATGCCATCTAGAATCTAGAAACTCGTGAAGCAGGGTTGTTCGGTGCAGTGCTGTCATAAAGGACGCTTCAGGCTACGGTCATTGCAACAACACTCCTCATGTGCTTATGCTCACCGGAACTTGTACAGTACCATTGTATTGGCACTGGTGGGATGGGTCATTGCAACAGCACTCCTCATGTGCTTATGCTCACCGGAACTTGTACA